TGTCTCTCAGACCAATTGCTGCAGAGCATAAACTGGAAGTTGGTACAATACTATGTCTTGCTTTAAGGATCCCAATAGGCATCTGGTTGGCCACTGGGGAAAACAGATTAATCAGGCCTTCTGCCTGATTCATCACTACTCTTATATTTTCTAGTTATGCTAAACTATAACAAAGTACATGATTATACAGAGAGAGATCAAAATGGCCTTAGTAATTCTGGAAAGTATTCTGAGCACTTCAAAACACTTTATGCATAATGGAAGGGAGAGCGAGCAGATGCTATATTTTACATTTAGAACCCTACTTTCCCACTTAAAATTTCACCCTATGGCTTTAAAAAGGCCTTCAAGCTAATCAATAAAACAGTACTTAAGCCATTCCTGTATTTTAAACTTAGAATCATAGAATCATTGAGTTGGAAGAAACCTCATGAGCCATCCAGTCCAACCCCCTGCCAAGAAGCAGGAAAATCGCATTCAAAGCACCCCCAACAGTTGGCCATCCAAACTCTGCTTAAAAGCCTCCAAAGAAGGAGCCTCCACCACACTCTGGGGCAGAGAGTTCCACTGCTGAACAGCTCTCACAGCTCTCCTAATGTTCAGGTGGAATTTCCTTTCCTGTCGTTTGAAGCCATTCTCCCTTGCGTCCTAGTCTCCAGGGCAGCAGAAAACAAGCTTGCTCCCTCCTTCCTATGACTTCCCCTCACATATTTATACATGGCCATCATGTCTCCTCTCAGCCATCATTTCTGAAAGCTAAATATGCCCAGCTCTTTAAGCCGCTCCTCATAGGGCTTGTTCTCCAGAGCCTTGATCATTTTAATTGCCCTCCTCTGGACACATTCCAGCTTGTCAAAATCTCCCTTCAATTGTGGTGCCCAGATATTCTTCTGCAAGTTCTCCTTCCTGCCACACCAATCTGACTAGTGAGCAAGCCTTCTGGGGGTTCCTTGTGCTTAGAGAGGACAATGATTTCAATACTGTAGTAACTACTAAAAAGTCACCCGAAAGAGCAGCAAGCCGAATAACAGTTTCATTTCTGACCAGTGCATATCCATTCTAATATATAAATCTATATAAATAAAAATGTAATGTTTGTTGTGGGATTAGCATAACTCAAAAACCACTGGACGAATTGACATCAAATTTGGACACAACACCCCTAAAAGACCAACGAGTGCCCCTCACCCCTAAAACACACACACACACAAAACCCCAGCGGAACAGACTTAAAAACCCAAAAAATACACCATATATACATATACACATATGCTCATATACATATACACATGGCACCACATTCATACACACACATACACGAGAACAAGCACACACAAATATACATATAGACATACACATATATATGTATACACAAATGCCCATATACATACACAGACCTATATGCTTGTCTACATGCATATTTGTGTTTATACATGCACACATATATAAACACAAATATGCATACAGACAAGCACACACATATACACAATATACATACACATATAAACACACAAATACACAAATATATACTCATACACACACACACATATATACACCCACATATACAGTATATATGCAAACACACATATATACACATATACACAAATATATACACACACAACACACATATATACAGACTAGGCCACAGCAATGCGTGGCTGGGGACGGCTAGTATGAAATAAACGTGTTGCTGCACTTCAGTTAAAACCTTTGCAGTTATTTAAAAAACCAGACAGGAAATACACCCCCAGCTTCACCTAATAAACACTGGAAAAAATACAACTCCAAGGAGAATCGAAAGTTCATCATTATTTGAATTTCACAGATTATTGGCAAAGAGTTGGCCACAGACTACTGGTGGAAATCAATGATAAACTAAAGTCAGTCAGACTGAAAGTGCCTTTTACCTACACCCAAAAATAAATCACAATACATCTGCCTAGGATAATAACAAGGAAGTTATTTATCTGATACCTGATCAGATACCACCACGTACAGCCTTATCTTCAGAGTCAAAACTTAGGTAAGAATAAAAGCAATTAATTACCTTAGGCTCATGAGACACAGGTTCTTTTAGGGCAAAGGTCAAATACAGTGGCATGAAAGTATAAGCTTCCTAGCTTCAATATTTTTATTTCTTACCTTACTTAGGGTGTAAACCAGGAATGGGCAAACTTTGGTCCTCCAGGTGTTTTGGACTTCAACTCCCCCAATTCCTAACAGCTGGTAGGCTGGGTTGTTGTAGGTTTTTCAGGCTATCTGGCCATATTCTAGAAGCATTCTCTCCTGACGTTTCGCCTGCACCTATGAGAAGCCTTGCCAAAGGTAGGCTGTTAGGAATTGTGGGAGTTGTAGTCCAAAATGCCTGGAGGGCCAAAGCTTGCCCATGTCTGGTGTTGACCATCATTCTCAAACATTTTATAAAAGTCAGCTGTAAAACCGCACATCAAATATACAAAGAAATTAAAAAATATGGAAGTGTAGGCCTATTTTTACAGCTGGTAGTGGCACAATAATTGAGAATATACTTTTCCCAAGAAACCAATTAATTCCACTGTTACTCTGTAACTAGTTTCAGTATTTCAATATCAGAAGAAGTTACTAACTACTTAGAAAGTTTCTTACAAGTTACAAAAGGCTAGCAGACGAAATGACCCAAAGGCACCAGATCCTGTCTGCTCTTGAAAGTTAAGTGGGGCTGCCCATGGTTAGAACTTGGATGGAATATGAATACCTGGTGCTGTAGGATACAATTCAGAAGAAGGAAGTATCTTCTTTCTCAGGTCTTTTCAAAAATCAGATTCAGCATTTTAGAAATATACTGAAAATACCACATTCGATACAACAGCAAGCCTATAAAACTGATTCACAAGTAAGCCCTATTGATCAATAATATATACACCTAGATGTTAACAGGGCTGCACTATTAGTCTGTTCTGTAGCCAGCTCTGGAATCCAAAAAACTATCTCTCAGACGAGCAAGGAAGCTTGGTAATGTTCCTGGTGACTCTATGACTCATACCGAAGATAAACTCTTCAACACTGTTACAGCAATCACAAGGCCAAAGGTTTGGACCAACATAGCTCGGGTGTGAAATAACAGCATCCTTTCTATTAGGATAAACAGATATTTGCCAGGCTGGAAAATAGCTATCTGATGATTTTTTTATATCCTTTTTGTCAAATTATGAAGCTATCATAGCTGGTGTTTTCTTGCATTTCCAGATGCAAGGTTTCCAGATTTGCATTTCCAGTTGCTGAGAGGGATATGGTGGGGCAGTAGTGCAAGGAAAATAAAAAATACAACAGGAAGAAGTCATATGCCAACCTCAGTGGATGTCTCCTCTGTTATGAAGACTGAGAATTCAGCACCTAATTATGAAGAAACCCACATCATGCGCACCAGAAACATGATGAGCCCTTCCACACAGCCATATAACTCAGAATATCAAGGCGGTATTGGGTTATCTGAGTCCACATTGCCATATATCCCAGTTCAAAGCAGAAAATGTGGGATTTTATTCAGCTGTGTGGAAGGAACCAGAAACACAATTAGATTGAAGAATATCACTATGCCATAGATAGAAGCTGATTACAATATTGTGTGTTTTCCAACTTCATCCCAATGGACTTTCACAACTAGCATCCTCAAGTGCTGGTGTTTCTATACAATGCCCAAGTTTTCAATGAACATAACTTCAAAGCCCCTTCTACACTGCCATATAAAATCCAGATTATCTGTTCAAGTGACAAATGCAAGATACTCCACTTTGGCAGAAAAAACGAAATGCAAAGATACAGAATGGGGGACAATGCCTGGCTCGAGAGCAGTACGTGTGAAAAAGATCTTGGAGTCCTCGTGGACAGCAAGTTAAACATGAGCCAACAATGTGATGTGGCGGCAAAAAAAGCCAATGGGATTTTGGCCTGCATCAATAGGAGCATAGGGTCTAGATCAGTGGTTCTCAACCTGTGGGTCCCCAGATGTTTTGGCCTTCAACTCCCAGAAATCCTAAAAGCTGGTAAACTGGCTGTGATTTCTGGGAGTTGTAGGCCAAAACACCTGGGGACCCACAGGTTGAGAAGCACTGGTCTAGATCTAGGGAAGTAATGCTACCCCTGTATTCTGCTTTGGTTAGACCACACCTGGAATATTGTGTCCAGTTCTGGGCACCACAACTGAAGAGAGATATTGACAAGCTGGAATGTGTCCAGAGGAGGGCGACTCAAATGATCAAGGGTCTGGAGAACAAGCCCTATGAAGAGCGGCTTAAAGAGCTGGGCATGCTTAGCCTGAAGAATAGAAGGCTAAGAGGAGACATGATAGCCGTGCATAAATATGTGAGAGGAAGTCACAGGGAGGGGGGAGCAAGCTTCTGCTTCCCTGGAGACTAGGACATGGAACAATGGCTTCAAACTACAAGAAAGGAGATTCCACCTGAACATGAGGAAGAACTTCCTGACCGTGAGAGCCATTCAGCAGTGGAACTCTCTGCCCTGGAGTGTGGTGGAGGCTCCTTCCTTGGAAGCTTTTAAACAGAGGCTGGATGGCCATCTGTCGGGGGTGCTTTGAATGCAATATTCCTGCTTCTTGGCAGGTGGCTGGACTGGATGGCCCATGAAGTCTCTTCCAACTCTATGATTCTATGATTATCTGGCAATGTAAAGTCATATAATCCAGTTCAAAGCATATATTCTGGATAATTATATAATTATATGGCAGTGTAGAAGGGGCCCCAGACTTACTTCCCACAGGAACTTTAGCCCCCATCACAGAATGCCAGAATGATCAACAGACTTCGACTAGACTGACTTAACACAGATGGTTCCACAAGCTGCAAATCAAAAGGGGCCTGACAATTCCAGGCCTAGATGCCAATCCCATTTGCTCAGAACTATCAACCTTTGCACTTTTCATACTGTCACAAGATTAAAGCTTAATTCCAACCAAATTCCAAGCAGTTAAACAGAGTAGGAGGCGGGTACACCCTCATACTGACCTGTCCGTGATTGCGGACTGTGAGCCACTCATTGGAGCCCTTGGCAAGGAGACGACTTTTTAGCCAATCTGCATTGCACTTGATATTTCAAGTAGGTTGCTGTCACTTTTCCACACACACAACCAAGTTCAGGATCCAGCTTTATTGCAAAGCACAGAACAAATCGAGTTGTTTTGGGGTTTTTTTAGTGTTCTTCACAATTGTCCAAAAGATCCATATCAGAGTAGAAGAAAACACGAGGGGCCCTTTCTGGCCAAATTATCCAAACCGAAGAGAGGGAGAGTCATGATCCAAACCTCTGAAAATCCTCAGTTCAAAAGGAACACACATCTCAGTTTAAGTGGCAGTTTGGCCAAGATAGTAACTGTCAAACTCCATCTGCTCCAAACTATTTCCAGTCATTTCAGGTCCAGAACCTTTCTCAGGTCATGAGGACATCCCAACACAGAGAGATGAGAAACAGAATAAGAATTCCCATCCATGAGAGGGAAGGAAACCTGGGGAGGGGGCTGCTGGCCTCCTCCCACCCTGACTACCCCATGGGATGCAGGAAAGCCTATTCAAATGGTTAATTCTCCATCAAAGACCTCAACTTGATCAGGGAAAGCTACTCAGCAAAGCGGTTTCTAATGCTTTGCTCGCCAAAGATTGATTTGCCCTCCCTTTTAAGGATTTACATTACTATCTACCCTTAACAGGCTAGAGGGAAATAGATACTACTGTTTCTATATGGGATTGTCAAGAAAAGATGCTGAGGGTGGGGTTGTCAACAGGAAAACAGCCCCTTCCTATAGAGAAGCAAGTATCTATCTAGAAAAAACATACAAAAATAGCAGGGCCTCCCCTTCTTTTGTCCCCACCGAGAAAAGGGGAAAGTAGTGGAAATATCTAAGCGAAATCTCTGAGTTAGACTGAATTCTCTCCTCTTGTCCTGGATGAAAATTGGGGCAAAGAAAAGGGAAAAAAAGAGGGCTGTGGCCTTCTCAAGCCTCCACCTGCCTTGATATCCCGTCTCTCTCTTTCATCTCCAGGCCGAGTCGTAGAAGCAAAGGCAACAAAATAAAGGCCCAGAATTGGATTCCAAGGTGGACTGCGATTCCAAGGTGGACAGCACTCCTTCCTCTTGTCCTGTTTTGGGGGCACGAAAAAAAATCACAGCCACACTTTCTTTGGGAGTGTGTGTGTGTCTTCCTCTACATCCCGTCTTTCTTTCTTTCTTCTCTAAGCCTGGAGTTGACACACAAGAATGTGGAATCTGTTGGCCTGCCTCCGGCCTTCTTTAGATCTCCCCTCCTTCCTTCCTTCCTTCCTCTCTTGTCCTGGAGAAAAGGCCAAAAGAAAAACAAAGTCACAGCCGTGTTGGGCCCTGTGTGTATATATGTATATGTTTGAGTGTGTATGCTTATGCTTGTATCAGTATGTACATATATGTACCTGGATGTATGCGTTTGTGTCAATGTTTGCACCTGGATTTGTTTGTAGCTGTGTTTATGTATTTTTTTAATATTTATGTCTGTATGTGTGTGTGTGAAGGTATGTGTTTATGTATGTGATTTATGTTTGTATCTGCATGTGTCTGTGTTTAGGTAAGTGTTTTAAGTCTGCATCTGTATGTGTGTGTATCTGCATGTAGGCATGTGTTTATGTATGTGTTTTATGTTTGCTATCTGTATGTATGGGTCTGCATGTAGGTATGTGTTTATGTAGGTGTTTTGTCTGTATCTGTATGTGTGTGAAGGTACGTGTTTATGTATGTGTTTGAGTATGTTTAATGTTGGTAGCTGTATGTATGTGTATCTGTGTGAAGATATGTTTATGTATATGTTTAATGTTTGTATCTGTGTGTATCTCCGTGTAGGTATGTGTATATGTTTGTATCTGTATGTGTGTGTGTATCTGCGTGTAGGTATGTGTTTATGTATTTATGTTTGTATCTGTATGTAAGTATGTGTTTGTGGGGTGGTATGTGTTTATGTTTATATATGTGTTTTATGTTTATATTTGTGTCTGTGTATAGGTTTATGTTTATGTATGTTTTATAATTGTATCTGCATGTGTGTGTATCTGCCTGAAGATATGTGTTTAATGTTTGTATCTGTATTTTTGTCTGTGTGTAGGTATGTGCTTTATGTTTGTATCTGTATGCGTGTGTATCTGTGTGAAGGTATGTGTTTATGTATGTGTAGCTGCGTGAAGATATGTGCTTATGTATGTGTGTATCTGTATGTGTGTGTAGGTATGTGTTTATATTTGTGTCTTTATGTGTTGGTATCTGTGTGTAGGTATGTGTTTATGTATTTATGTTTGTATCTGTATGTAGGTATGTTTTTGTGGGGTGCTATGTGTTTATGTTTATATACGTGTTTTATGTTTGTATTTGTGTCTGTGTATAGGTTTATGTTATGTATCTGTATGTGTGCACCTGTGTGAAGGTATATGTTTATGTGTTCAATGTTTATAGATGTAACGTATGTGTATCTGCGTGAAGATATGTGTTCATGTATGTGTTTAAAGTTTGTATCGGTTTGTATTTTGTCTGTGTGTACGTATTTGTTTATGTATTTATGTTTGTATCTGTATGTATATGTTTGCGGGGTGGTATATGTTTTATGTTTGTATTTGTGTGTATAGGTTTGTGTATGTGTTTTATGTTTGTATCTCTGTGTATGTGTCTTTCCAAGCCTTCTTGATCCCTCTCCTTCTTCCCTTCCTTCTCCTCTGGCCCTGAGGAAAAAGGGCTGCAAAGAAGAGTCAAAGCAACACTTGAAGGATGGATGGATATGTTTGTGTTTGCATCTGCAGGTATGTTTACGTGTGTGTATACCTGTCTGCGGGTTTGTGCCTCTCTCCTCGAGCCTTCCTTGTGCTTCCTTTCCTTCTCCTCTGCTCCTGACGAAAAAGGGGTGCAGAAAGGAGCCACCCTCGAGGGCAGTATGGATGGGTAGTGGTGTGGCTTCCCTTGGAGGTCGGGTTCCTCCTTTTTTCCCCCCTGGAGTCTCTCTTCCAGGCCTCCAAGTGGCCAAGGGGGGTCCCCAGCCTGGGGGTGGCTGTCCTCCTCCTGCTTCTCGGCCGAAGTCCCCTCAGGCCCGTCGGCCCTTCTCCCTCGACGTCGGGCCTGAGGAGGAGACTTGGTTTCGCCTCCTCCTCCTCCTCCTCCTTCCCGCCGGAGGAATGCGGTGAGGCCTAGCCTGGCCTTCCTCCTCCTTCTCTTCGTCCTCCTCGGCCTGGTCTCCTCCGCAGGCCCCGCTCCGGCCTCCTCCTCTCCTCTCCGGATCCTGAAGAGCTTCTCCTCAGGCCAGCGCTGCTCTCCCCTCCGCCCCGCCGGCTTCCCTCAGGCAGGCCCCGGCTCGGCTCCGCTCGGCTACTTTCGGATCTTTCCGGACGTTCCCTCCCCTTTCCCTGCCTCTTCTTCACTTCAGGGATTCGCCCCACTCGCTTTCGGCTCCTGTCGGGTGCCTTCGGGACTTTCCGGCCATTCCCGAGTCAATTTGTCCCCCCCCCCCCCCTTTATTTCAGTCATTATCTGCACTCGGCTATTTTCGGGCTTTTCCGGCCATTCCCGAGTCAATTAGTATTTTTTTTCTCCCCTTTATTTCAGTCATTATCTCCACTCGGCTATTTTCGGTCTTTTCCGGCCATTCCCGAGTCAATTAGTTTTTTTTCTCCCCTTTATTTCAGTCAATATCTGCACTCGGCTATTTTCGGGCTTTTCCGGCCATTCCCGGATTTCTTCACCTCCCGCTCTTCCCCTTTTTTCCTCCACTCGTTTCGGCTACCTTCGGTTTTTTCCGGCAATTCCCGAACTCATTTTCCCCTTCCGCCTCTTCCTTCAGTTTCTATTCCTTCTGGAATTGCTTCGACTCTGTTCGGCTACTTTCGGGTATTTCCGACTATTCCCGAACGTCCCCCCTGCCTTTACTCTGCAACCTTCGGGTATTTCCGGACATTCCCGAGTCAATTTGTTTTGGTTCCCCCCCCCCTTTACTTCAGTCATTATCTATACTCGGCTATTTTCGGTCTTTTCCGGCCATTCCCGGATTTCTTCATCTCCCGCTCTTCCCCTTTTTTCCTCCACTCGTTTCGGCTACCTTCGGTTTTTTCCGGCGAATCTCGGACTCGTTTTCCTCTTTCGACTCTTCCCTCAGTTTCTATTCCTTCTGAAATTTCTATTCCTTCTGAAATTGCTTCGACTCTGTTCGGCTACTTTCGGCGGTTTCCGACTATTCCCGAACGTCCCCCCCTTTTATTCCTCTTCGCTCGATTCAGTATTCGGCAACCTTCGGGTATCTCCGGAAATTCCCGAACGTAACCCCTCCTCCTCCTCCCATCCCGATCCTTTATGCCTCTTCGCTCAACTCATTCCTCTTCGCTCGACTCAGCACTCGGCAACCTTCGGGTATTTCCGGAAATTCCCGAACGTAACCCCTCCTCCTCCTCCCATCCCGATCCTATATGCCTCTTCGCTCAACTCCGTTTTCGGCTACTTTCGGGCTTTTCCGGCAATTCCCGGACTTCATTCCTTCTCCCCCTTCGACTCCTTTACACAGCGGTTCGTTCTCACTCGTTCTCGGCTACCTTCGGATTTTTCCGGAGATTCCCGGACTTATTTCCCACTTTCCTCCGTTTCTAATCCTTCAGGAATTCCCTCGACTCTGTTCGGCTACTTTCGTACTTTTCCGACTATTCCCGAACGTCTCCCCTCGCCTTCCCTTTATGCCTCTTCGCTCGACTCAGTACTCGGCAATATTCGGGATTATCCGGCAATTCCCGAACTCATTTCTCCCTTTCGCCTCTTTCCTCTTCTTCCATTCCTTCAAGAATTTGCTCGACTCACTTCGGCTACTTTCGGGATTTTCCGACTATTCCCGAATGTAACCCCCCCCCCCCACACACACACACACTTCATTCCCCCTCTCCTTTATGCCTCTTAATTCGGCCACACTCGGCTATCTCCGGCTTTTTCCGGATTCATTTTTCGCTCCCTCATGTTCCCCCTCTACTTCTGTACTTCCGTTCGAGTCGAGTTCTCTCGACTTAGCTCGGCTATCTTCGGAGTTTTCCGGTAATTCCGACTCTTAACCGCCCCGCCTCGTTCCTTTTCGCCTGCTTCCTCTGCTCCCTTACTTCAGGCTTTCACTCGAAAGGCTTCGGGCTTTTCCGGAGATGCCGGGACTCGTTTTTCTCCTCTCCCCCCCTCCCTTTTTTCCCCATCGGGAGGATCCCTCCGCGTCGTCACGCGTCCCGCCCTTCCCTTGCTCCTCGGCTCTTCCTGTCACAACACAGCGATGCGTTGCCGCTTCCGCCATAGGCAGAAAAAGGAGGGCGAGGGGAAAAGTTCCTTTAAGGAGATATATGAAATGGGAAATGGGATTGCATTGTGTTTTTGGAGAAGAGTTGGGGAGAGGCCACACATAGTCTGAAATAGAGGCCTCTCCAAGGTGCTGGACTTATTTTGGAGGCTGAATCCTTGTCTACATTGGAGTAAGTCCCACTGAGGAGAGAATTGCAACCCAGGCGCCATATGCAAAATGCTGCCACCTTCAGGAAGCTCCCGGTATTGCAATATGTGGTGCCAGAGGAAGACATTGAAATATGTGCCAACAGGCAAATGCTCATTCTCCTACCCCGGGCATTATTCCACAGATATATATGTATTTATTTGTTTACAACATTTATATGCTGCCCTTCTCACCCCGAAGGAGACTCAGTGCAGCTTACAAGATATATATACATACAATATATTAAATTGTATTGTCGAAGGCTTTCATGGCTGGAATCACTAGGTTCTTGTGGGTTTTTTCGGGCTATATGGCCATGTTCTAGAGGCATTCTCTCCTGACGTTTCGCCTGCATCTATGGCAAGCATCCTCAGAGGTAGTGAGGTCTGTTGGAACTGGGGAAAGGGTTTATATATCTGTGGAATGACCAGGGTGAGACAAAGGACTTTTGTCAGTTGGCCTAGGTGTGAATATTTCAACTGACCACCTTGATTAGCAAAGGATGTAGTCAGTCTGATTTCGGTGTTGACCATCTGGTGAAGTCCATGTATAAAGCCGTCTTTTAGGTTGTTGGAGGAGAGTATTCGTTATACA